GTAGAACATTACACAAAAAAAAACTTTTTAACCCTATCCGTACACCCTGGGGTCACTTTGTACCCCAAGGGTTGTATTCTTCACATTTTAGAATACTTCTAGCACGAAGATCTCTTTGAAACTTTCAGTGTTTTTCAAATAATCATTCTGGTAGACTGCTATGCAAAGCGTACAGATCAGATTAACGAGTAAATTTCCTCTTTGGAAAGTGGTGGCACAGAGTTCCCCACGTCGTATGGATACGATAGTAAAACACGACGTACGGATAGGGTTAAGAAAATAAAACACATCTTCACATAACAGAACCAGAAGGCCCCTGGATTTGAGCTTAATTTTAACTGGTCAGCGAGTGGGAAAAATATGATATCACCTGTTGGGTACCTCAGAATTAAAAAGTTTTATCTGAAATGTTCGGCCGTTCTGAGTTACTGAGACCATGAGATCAAAAACCTTAATCTTCTGTCTGTTCTGTGAAAATCGTAAGAATATTCGGAATCGATATCAAGATATTCAAAGTATTGCATTCGAAAAAGCTTGACCTGTTGTGAAACTCAAAATTTTTGACGTCAAATTTCTCCAAACTATGCTCTGATCAGATAGAACTTTGTAATTCGGAGGTAGCGAGTTGTGTCCCCTGTGCTTTGGAAAATCCTGAATGGGTCGCTTTGAAGGACACGCGGGTTGACCCAGATTTCAGGAGTTTCAAGAAATCTTGACCTACACCAAAAGTGGGCATTGCCCTACCTATAGGAGAAGTTTGGTTTCTTTAGTGTGTATTATTTGTTTGGTTATAGAGAAAACTCTCCTTGTCTTTTAAAGAAACTGAACAAGGGGCAAAAACTTTACCTTTGACTTTCTAAAAACAGCATTTTTCGGGATAGCCCCCTTGTGCTTAAAAGCGACAAATTTTCCCTTAAGCTGTGTTTGAATTATCTATCACAGAGTCACAACTCAGGGATTGTATCTAGCACACTCTCAGTGGTCGCTCTGAAATCTACATCATTGGAGTCTGACAACATCTGGACTGGTTTTGCTCCACCAAGCATACAGTCTACATTGGCGGTCATCTAGTCGACTTTTGCGGGTTCACCGTCGACTTTGCAGGTCATACGGTCGATTTTGGAGGCCGTACAGTCGAATTTGAAGGTCAAAAGGTCGACTTTCGCGATTTCACTGTCGATTTTGCAGGTCATGCTTTGACGATCATACAGCCGAGTTTGGTGTACCTCGCTAGTCAGACCAGTTCAGCTCACTCCTTTGAAATAGACACCATGACAACACTCTCCAAATACAGCAAGAAAAAATCTTTTAAAAACAAAATGTATACCGTTTATAAAAGCTCAAAAACCACACATGTGGTTTCGAACACAGGCTCTAACCAGAACACAAAAAGGGGAATCCTCCTTAAAGTGGGATTAGAAACCATCTCCTTTTTTTAGTGAGAATTTTACGGCACTTGCAACACAATGAGGTCATATAAGTGCCGCTGGTAACTATCTCCGACATATAAAGAGGAATTCTCCGTAACCATACGTATGTTTGTTTGTGTGTGTGTGTGTG